ACATGTGCTAATTTCCATCTGAATGTTAACATATACTGATTTCAATCTGAATGATACCATGTACTGATTTACCTCTAAATTATAACATATACTGATTTGCCCCCGAATGATAATTTATACTGATATTACCTCTGAATGATACCATATACTGATTTCCATCCGAATGATAACATGTACTGGTCGATTTCCATCTGAATTATAACATGTACTGATTTACCTCTAAATGATAACATATAATGATTTCCATCTGAATGCTAAAATGTACTTATTTCCATCTGAATGGTAACATGTACTGATTTAACTCTGAATGATAACATAATGATAACATATACTGACTTCCATCTGAATGATAAAATGTACTAATTTCCATCTGATTGATAACATATACTGATTCCCATCTGAATGATAACATGAACTAATTTCCATCTGAATAATAACATGTACTGATCGGTTTCCATCTGAATGATAGCATGTACTGATCGATTTCCGTCTGAATGATAACATGTCCTGATCGATTTCCATCTGAACGATAACATGTACTGATTTACCTCTGAATGATAACATATACTGATTTCCATCTGAATGATAAAATGTACTTATTTCCATCTGAATGATAACATGTACTGATCGATTTCAATCTGAATGATAACATGTACTGATTTACCTCTGAATGATAACATGAACTGATTTACCTCTAAATGATAACATATACTGATTTGCCTCTTGATGATAACATATACTGATTTCCATCTGAATGATAACATATACTGATTTCCATCTGAATGCTAAAATGTACTTATTTCCATCTGAATGATAACATGTACTGATCGATTTCAATCTGAATGATACCATGTACTGATTTACCTCTGAATGATAACATGAACTGATTTACCTCTAAATGATAACATATACTGATTTGCCTCTTGATGATAACATATACTGATTTCCATCTGAATGATAAAATGTACTTATTTCCACCTGAATGATAACATGTACTGATCGATTTCAATCTGAATGATAACATGTACTGATTTACCTCTGAATGATAACATATACTGATTTCCATCTGAATGATAACATATACAGATTTCCCTCTGAATGCTGACATGTACTGATTTTACCTCTGAATGAAAACATATACTGATTTGCCTCTGGATGATAACATATACTGATTTGCCTCTGGATGATAACATATACTGATTTCTATCTGAATGATAACATATACTGATTTCCCTCTGAATGATAACATATACTGATTTCCTTCTGAATGATAACATATACTGATTTCCATCTGAATGATAACATGTACTGATTTACCTCTAAATGAAAACATATACTGATTTCCCTCTGAATGATAACATATACTGATTTCCATCTGAATGATAACATGTGCTGCTTTCCCTCTGAATGATAACATATACTGATTTGCCTCTGAATGATAACATATACTGATTTCCATCTGAATGATAACATATACTGATTTCCTTCTGAATGATAACATATACTGATTTCCCTCTGAATGATAACATATACTGATTTCCCTATGAATGATAATATGTACTGATTTCCCCCTAAATGATAACATGTACTGATTTCCCTCTGAATGATAACATGTGATGTTTTCCATCTGATTGATAACATGTACTGATTTCCCTTTGAATGATAACATATACTGATTTCCCTCTGAATGATAACATATACTGATTTCCCTCTGAATGATAAAATGTGATGTTTTTCATCTGAATGATAACATGTACTGATTTCCCTTTGAATGATAACATATACTGATTTCCCTCTGAATGATAACACATGATGTTTTCCTCTGATTGCTGATATGTACTTGTTTTCCTCTGATTGCTGATATGTACTTGTTTTCCTCTGATTGCTGATATGTACAAATATTCCTTCCTCTGAATGTTTGCATGTGCTGGTTTCCTCTTAATGAAAAATAAACAAAAGAAGAAAACAAAAATATCAAGGGTTCAGCTCAGATCCTTTATGTTTTGGATAGTAAACAGTTTTATGAGAAAAGATAAAGATAAACTTTACCTAATGTTAAATGTCAACACATTACTTTATACCTCAATTATGTTTTGCTATGCCAATTATACCAGAGTTTGGCAAGGGATCAAAACAATCTTCTATATAAACAAACTTGACCTGAATTGACAATTTTTTACTATCATGGTTATAGTGTAGATAACCGATTATCGCTGAAGTTTTACACCTAGCTCACCTGTAAATAGTGGGGTCCGTTTATCTACATAATCTGATGATGGGTGATTTAACATGAATAAATCTAGGTCAACACTTCTACGTTAACTTGGCAGCTGTTTACATGTCTCTGTCCAGTTTATATCACCCTATTTGGAGGCAGTAATGCGTAACCGACTTATTTAGATTTTTTAACCATGGATTTTTTCATAAAAATAATTACAGTCTAGCCTTATTTTCTGAAAAATATGGTTGCATATTTATACGTTTTAGTCTGCTAAATAATTTGAAAAGCCAACAAATTCCTGTAAATATGCAAAATCTGGAATTCTTCATAAATAAAAAATGATGTAAACAGGTGTAAATTTATGTTACATTGCTGAACACTTTGTTATCAAGACTTAACATTTCAGTCATTGTTCACCAAAGTGATGGGAAATTTTCAGTCTGCTCTTTGATCTATTTGAATTTTGTCTAAAAAACATATAAGTATATGCCTCATTGACAAGATTATCTGATGTCAGTGTTCATTCAGATGTGTTCTACATCTTCCCTGTATTCCCAAACACAAAACCAAACATTCTGAGTCTGTCACCATTTATTTTCATGAAGGTGACTAAGTTGAAGATTGTATGACATGTTAGAAAAGCTGAAGGATTGAAGGTCACTGCTGACTTTGTTTACGCCTTGACGAAAACTCTTTGGAATGTCATATGGCAGTGGAGCAAAACATGTTTGTTGTTGTGAGCTATTCCTGGTATGATATAAATATATATGGCTTGTGTGCATTTTGTGAAACCTATAGTAACAGCTGTCAGCTAGGGCATCTGTACTACACATTTGTCCTCCTTTCTTAGATGCAAAGAGAGAGAGAGCTTGTCTAAAAAAAAATCCCTTTTTTACACAATGTGATAATACATCCAAATTAAATATCTCATCAAAGTATGCTCAAAAGTAATGCTCATTCAGAAAGGAAAGAATGAGTTTGCCCCTGACCCCTTGCAGTACCTGGCATTGATAGTTTTGGTAAACACCTGAAAGTCTATGCAATATTGTCTTTAGTTTTTTGATTGATCATCTGTAATTGTTCATAGTCAAAAGTACAGCTGTTAATCATATGACCTTTGACCAATCACTGTGACCTTTACCTAAGGTACTCTGACATGACCTGAGAGTGATGTTAAACAGTGTCTGTCTGTTAATGATACACTTATCTATATTTCATCAAAAAGTGTTCAGTTCAAATTTTATTGCCCAAACATTAGAATGCCTTGATCTTTGACTCCTAATGTGACCTTAACCTTTGAATATGTCAGTATATGTATTATGACATGAATGTGAAGTTTCATTTAAAATGTTGAGCTGTACAAAAGAAATACAAGAATAAAGTATAACTTTTGACACCTGACTATTTCTTTGACCTTGAGATATTATTGTTTGGACAATTCACAATGAGACTGTGACCTCTTGATTTGATCTTGACCTTTCACTTCCAACTTGCTACAGAGGCTGCTTGGGTAAACATAAAACACAGATTGCACAAAAAGGCATTTGAAATTTGCCAATTGTGAAATATTTTATTTCAGGTTACATATTTCATCAATAACAGATTTTCTGTTCCTTTTATGAAGAAAGGAGATAAATGATGCAACAAAAGATGGCAAACCCTTAAATCTCGCAAGTAAATGAACAACACGTTTCTGTTGCTAGTAGTTATTTACATGTCATAAAACAAAATTAAGGCAGCAAATTTTCAACATAATTCATAAAAAAAATCTCACTATTTTTGACCAAAACCTCACAAATTTCACTGATCACCTCAATTTGCATTTTACTGTTATGGCATGTATGGCCACCGGTTTATGAATATTATTTATCTAAACCTGGATAAAATTATGAGCTGTCATTATACAAGTTACCTGTTAATCTGGAAGGACTTAGGTGTCAGGTTTCACTGATTTGTGTGCATCACCATGTTGTCCAAAACATTGTTCTTGTATAAATTTTCAGTGTGTTTGAGTAACATGACAATGCCAAGATTAATGCGTTGTTTTTTAGTCTGCCAAATTTGCAAAATATCCTTAAGATATGGGTCAATATTTAGTGCTAATATCTGTAGGCAGACCTCTCCAAATGTTAAATCAACATTTATTCTTGGCCCACGTTTTAGTTCATGTGAATTACAGATATATAGGGTCACATCTGATGGCGACAATTGCCCAGTTTCTTGGCTAGTAGCCACAATAACAGGACCTGGTAGTCGCCTACCTTGATTTAATTTTGGACCTAAAGCTATTTTAAATAAGATATTGGCTTACATAAATGGCTTACATTGTAAAAGACGTACTGATCTGGGGCCTGCAATTAAGTGCCAGGTGATTATTCTTTTCTGCTTATGAGATTTCAAAATAATGCCAAACCAACTTAAATCACTCGGATCACTTTGGATTAATTAATGAAGTGCATATTTTATTTATTTCATGGTAAATAGCTTCACTCTACTTTGCCTGTTGAAATTTTCATAATCTGGCTTCATGCACACCAACACAAAATTTGCTTCCATTTGAAAGAGAACCAAATATTGTACATACATTTGATTCTGCACTCCCAATATTTTTTCAAGATCACGAAATAAAACACTGCTGTTGAATCTTTTTCAAGTTGGTAGACGTTTTGATGTCATTGTGCCAATATTTACATTTCCCAGATTGGCAAAACTTTAGACAAATCATGTGGTGTCTTATGTTAAATATTTCATAATAATCAAGAAACACAAGAAGACAGAATAGAATTCAAAGTCCTTTATTTCTCAATGCATCGATAAAAACACTTTTTGAATCAAATGCTTTGTCACTACATTTAATACCGTTAATATTAAAAATCACCTTTTTTCGATTCCTAATTCTGTTGAGTTGCCAAACCTGATAGCATCAGTCAAAATACATGCCATCAACCATCAGTTTGTTACGATACTTTGTAACTTGTCAATTTGATTTCACACAATCCATGCAATAAGCAGCTTGCTTTGAAGGCTTGGTTGGAGGTATGTTAAATGCACCAACAAGATAAAAAAAATAATACTTCTTGATATGTAATGCCCTATAGCTGTTCCTCAAACTACTTCCACTTCACATAATTTAAACACTGATTTTTTTCAAATGGACAAAAAAAAAGTCTTTTATTTAGCACGATTAATTAACAGAAATAGATCAAATTTATCAAGGCCTACTAATTGAATCCTTAAAACGAGTAATTTCAAATTCCAAAATAGATTAAAAATTATGTTTGTAATAATATTTTAACAGACAAATGCTTGAGTCAACACAACGTTTAATAATCACAGCTGAACACATTCTTATATAATATCACAGGAAATAGTAGCTTCCAGCATGGTAACTTTTTACTGAAACCCTAAGACAATGAAATTGATCCCATGCAACATTATCAAATTACTGATTTAATGAAAATACAAAATGAAAGTTCTGTACTTTTTTTGTGTGTATATAACTTCAACAAGTCTGCGACTACTCTATTGAAGCCGCCGAAACAGAAATTTGAAATTGGCAATGGACCTGTCTAAAGATATATATAAAACTTACGTAAAGATACATTATGTTCTGGACATTTTGTGTCCATAACCGAGTTGTCTTGCAATCCACACCTCTTACACTAAGATAGCTTACATACCAATACCAGTACTTTCCAAACAGTATATTTTAACAGGCTTGATATAACATGTCAATGCGATGAACTATTAACATTATGAGTTTATAATGCAAACAAAATTATGTTAAGAACAATACATATTTCTGAAATAAAATAAAAAAAAGGTTAATATCTTACTGATCCAAAAAATAACAAATTTATGACTTGTGCAGTTTTTTCTTTGCAATTAACAAGATAACCTGACTGAAAACAATGCATTAATTGCGATGCAGTTTTGAATATAGTATTTTGGTATATTAATTTGCGAATTAAACCAAATATAGAATTTACCAATATTGCTTTTACTTTGGTCTATAAAACAACATTTTTTTACATGTTACATGTATATATGATATTTGATGTACTTAGTCAACTAGTTATTTACAGAGCTTTGCGAGATGCTGTACATTAACCTGTCATTTTTGTTTTATTTTGTTTGTTTGTTTTGAGATCAGTGAATATATGTACATATGTAAACAAAAGTCGCCTTTTATACATGCCATTTCTTGGGACCAAAATGTCAAAGTCTATATACATGTATGTACACTTTGTACAGTAACATGTTACACACCCATATTGGTGATCTGGTCATGGACCCACAGTAACATCCTAGCGCAAACCCTGCACCAACGTTTATATCCTTGGATACAGTTGTCTTAGCCAATAACATTACATTGTATGATCCATGTGACAATGATCACACATACACACAGCGATAACAGTCATATATACCAACCAATACAATGGATATCAATGATGTGAGGTTTTTTGTTATGGTATTTAGGTTTCCTTGGAATGAATGACTTTGTAAAACACCTGTACATGTACATACATACAAATCTGTGGAAAAGTAAATGAAATGGATGCAAACAAATCAAAAGTGCAGTTTGTATGACAAGTCTGTAGTAAATGCCTTTGTATTAAAGTAAACTTGTTAAAAAGAAAATATATTGAATCTTATGTAAGAAAATATTTTTTTAGATATAAAAATTCAATTTCACATCTAAAACATATTGACAGTTTCATCAAATATTTGTTCAAAATTAAGGTAACAACTTTTATTTTGAAAACTAGACATAAAAAAAATTATTCAAAGACATTTACTTTAGTGTGAAACCATATTAAAAGATTGCAAGTATCTTGATTAATCTTGATCGGCTGCCATTGCAAAATTGTGAACACATTCATATATTGACCTTGCTTACTTTGCAAAATGAACTCAAAATGAACTTATGAGCATCTGAATTGCATATGAAATATGTATTATGGTAGACCAACAACTACTCAGTCTTCTTCATGAGTTGGAATAACATTTGTAATTTTAAAGCACAGAAATGTTTCCAACAATATTTCAAACAAAAATACAAGAATATAATGTATATATATATATGTATAGATATCTTTCATGCACCTTTGACAGACTGAGTCTAATGTTAATAGAATGAAATGGAATGGCACTTGTGTTCTGCTAAAGAAAATCACATACACAACACAGAATTCCCATACATTATATATGATATAACATTATAAATTTTCTGATTTTGTTGTTTCTTTTGAGCAAAACTACCATATTTTGGTTTTAATACAACATTTTTATACACTAAATAAACTACTGGTATCATAAACTGCTGTTATCATAAACTTGGCAAATTCATTCAAATTAGATAATGCTTTCATCTGTAAAATAGACTGGTTATATGAAGCAAAAGATATAGAGTTTCAATTTCAACTCAAACTGAAATAAAAATCCCCATGCATCAGATTTTAATTTTTCTAGATTTTTCTACATTTTCTGCCTGGCTAAAAATAGCTTGTAACTGAACTCAGCAAAATGTTTAATGTTTAAGAGTAGAACCTTTAAAGTTAATTTGAAATGGAATGTTTATTAAGCACAAATCAAAGTAACCACATGAGATGTTTAAACCTTGTACGACTAGCTAGCAGGCAACTCAAACAGTATAGAGGTATTGTTTGACAATATGGTGTTTAACAGATGGTTTATTACCCAGCCATGACTGGACTGGTTAGGTGACAATTTCACGAGACAAGATATATTTTTATGTAGCGACTCCACAAAGGTTGAACACAATAAAATTTGGCTCCCTTCAAACGAAGTTCTGCATGTTTTACAATTGTGGATAATGCCAGAACATAACTAATTGTTTTTACCCCAACATCCCCCCCCCCCCCCCCCCCCCCCAAACCTCAAGACAGTACGTAAAAACATTCATACTAAAATAACATGTAAAATTACAAAAAAGGTGAAAACAAAGTATTAAACTACAAACATAAAGACACATGGGCTTAACTAGAGTACATAAAATCACAACTCTTCACCTTGGATTAATCAGCTTTTTATAATTAGCAGTAATTGCTGTTTTAGCACTTAAATACTGCCCCTTAAGGTTAATGGAAATATAAGATCATCACATGTATCTCTCCCGCTATAATCTATTTGAAAGACAACGGATCATTTTCTTCTTTTAAACTATTTGTTTTGTATGAAGATTATATGTCAATTTTTTTTCTCATGTTTGTTAAGACAGAGACACACATTTTTGACATCAACATAAAATCCCTGATATTAATCTCGTATACACTGGCTTATGTGGGTTTTTTATGAGCATACTCTCTCTCTCTCTCTCTCTCTCTCTCTCTCTCATCAGACACAACCACTCCGCTTATCTACATCCAGTTTCACACTTGAGAAATCTTGGTTCCTTTATCAGTCCGAGTGCAGTACTACGTACTAATAGCAAAGTTCGATGAATGTGAATTTGGCAGAGATAGTCCACTATCACTACTTAAGTCAGAATTTTCATCGGAAAAGTTTCTCCTACGCCTAGCGAGTCCTGAAGAAGGTGGTGACAGTTTAATACTTGGAACTCTCATGGAATTTCCATTGTATAGACTGCTGTCAGACTCGTCCTCATCCTCCTGGCTGTCTTCACCACCTCGGGATCTACGCCCAATGAAAAATGATGGTGCCTCATTTATGTGTAGATGCTGTTGCATCATTCTGTTGATAGAGACTGCTTCTCCGGCAAAACATTCCAGATCTTTTGTACTGTTGTTTCTGTAATAAAAGAATTAAAATAAGTAAATATTGGCATTTTCGATATTGAAGAGATCTGATGTTTTGTCAAACTATCTATTTGTTGATTTTCCTTTCTCTACATTGCATTCTTATTTAATTTTCAAATAAACTACAAATATAGATATTTTTATATATCATACTTTCAATAATTTTGATTAATAACAAATCACAACAATGCATTGTTTCATCTGACTTACCTTGTAAGGATCCTTGGGGTGGCCAGCGGGGTGGGAAGGGGAGGGGTTGTCACCCAGGGATGGTTCAGGACTTCCTTGGCTGATAACCGTCTACGTGGGTCCCTAACCAAAAGCTTTCGGATCAAATCCTTGGCTTCCTCAGATATCTCACTCCACTCATTTTCAGGAAACTCAAACACACCATCTTGAATTCGTGTAAAAAGATTTTCTTGGCAAGACTGGCAAGCTTCTCCTCTTTCCCAACCACAATCCTCTCCACATTGTCCATAGAAAGGGGGATAGCCACACAGCACGATATACCTGTAACAACCAAACAGTTTCAAAATCAATAACAAGACAATTATTAAATATTACAGATAGAAATGTCTTTTTAATATATGTTACTAAATATTACAGATAGAAATGTCTTTTTAATATACGTTATTTGAAACAAAACTATTTTTTCTAGCATAAACGGATGTCAATATTTTTAATAACTTACAAAATTGTTCCTAAACTCCAGAGATCACATTTCTTGTCATAGGAAAAAGATTCGCCAACCCAAGCATCCACAACCTCAGGTGCCATGTACTCGGCTGACCCTACAGGGGTCAGGAGTTCAGGTGTTGTACAGTTGTCGTTCTGACTATTGATAGGCACACCACTGGCAAGGTCAAAGTCACAGATACGGATGGGAACAACCTCGTCTTTCTTCTCGCATAAAATGTTTTCTGGTTTCAGGTCTCTGTGAGCAATCCCTACAAAATAAAAAATTATTTCTAAGTATCAAAATTTTATTTATAAAACATGCAAACTATTTATTATGTGCATTTAGCTTTTCCAAAAAAATATTTAAGGAATTTAGATACAAATTTAACTTTGAGAACATGAAATGTTACAAATTTTGTTTTATGATTTTATGTGAAAATAATCATGGTGCTTCTTACCCTTCTTATGAAGAAAGTGAAGAGCTTTCGCAATATCTCTGATCACTAAGCTTGCTTCAAACTCCGTCACATGGCCCCTCCTCTCAATGTTGTTCAACAGGGTTCCTCCATGCATCAAATCAAACACCAAATAAAATCTTTCTTCCTCCTCAAAGTATTCATGCAACCGTAAAATATTCTCTTCACTTTGGCACAAGTGAAAAATTTCAATCTCCTTGAACACCTTCTTCCGTGACCTTCCAAAATCTTTTTCAATAACCTGTAATGATAGATTTTACATACTGTTAATAATGCTTAAAAAAATGTAATGTATCTATGTTTTCAAATACCAGTGTTTTGATTATTTTGAAAATAACTCAATTGAATCGTTTTTTCATGGACTAAATATATATAATATATACAAAGTAAATAGAAATTTGACAAACTTACTTTTACAGCATACTGTTTCTGGGTTGTATTTTTGCGGTACGTATTTACAGAAGCATAGGCACCACTCCCCAGCTTTTCTCCAGTAGGGGTGTAAAGATCTACAATATACAAAGACAAAACACAATTAGAAAAAAATATTCTCAACAAAAGCAAGTCTAGCACAAATTATAATTATTTGGCTACGGTATGCATATCAATTTATCATTTTGTAATTTGTAGGTGTACTGAATGTCTAAAGTTCCAAACGCCAAGAAAATGAGTCTATGGTGTTGATTATGTGATGTTTAAAACCTTTGTTAGTAAGGTCTGACCTAGTTCCTTTAAACTTCACAAAAGAACAAATACAATAAATGGTTTGTGGGGGCAATGAACAATCAATCTTTGCTGCCCTTTCCCTTTACAGATTAAAAACATATCATGATGTCAATGTACCTCGACTAGATTACTGACAGCCATCTGTTAGACGTCCATACAAATATAGAGTTGACCTACATACATATATATAGGTGCAAGGGAAGCGACAGCTGTATATCTACACATGAATCATGAACATTATGATTCATGGTTTTAACTTTACCCAAGTTTTCTGGTCATTCTCAGGTATGACACGTAATAACCAATTCTGCAGATAAATGTAGTTCTAAAGAAATGCCTCCTTATCTTAAGAATGCGTATATATAGCCTAGTGGGAATTACAAGGCTAACACTGTATATATATATATATATACGTCATCACATCCTGGTTGAGTGGGACAGAATTTGGGATTGAGTCCAGGATATAGAAAATGAAAGTCCTGTATACATTACAAACACCATTATTATTTTATTTTTATTCAGGCATCAACATGATTCGTTTCTTTTATCCCCAAGAAAAAGAAAATTTCCAACCTTTACTTATAATTGTTTCGTTTTCCAAAAGCAAATAGTTTGCATTGAAAAGATTTTTTTTCACACTGAAGATTGAATTTATTACAAGCCAAAAAATCATTTTTTAAGGAAAAGGTTCAGAAAAAAATCCTATCAAACCATTTGATTTCACTATGAATAAATAAGAACAATGTACTTAATGTTTGTGTTCCAATTTTATTTCTAAAATAGATCCTTAATCTCCTATCATAAGGGTAATGATTTCATCATACCATATAGTAATGTATGGTAAGTCTATTCTAGAATAAAATGATCTATTTATACAATTTACACGTTACTTCCACGTTACTTCCACGTATACACAAACATGTCATCAGGTGACATTATCCACAATGTGTACACATACAAAACGTGTACACAGTCATGTGTCATGATCATGAGGTGACCCGGTCTTACATGTCAGGAAACTACTAGAATTCATGTTTATTGATCCACGACCACAGCCATATCTTATTCGCTTACAACATGAGTGGTTCGATCTTACATCAGGCTACATTAGAAGGATTTACAATAGCTATTCTTAGAACATTACTTCATTCTTATCGTCGTCTGTTTTAAAACCTATCATGATTGGCTGGGTTATCCCCCATCAACACAGGCTGTGTTGCCCAACAATGTATTTATAGCACACACAATTTGTATGTGTTTTTCCTAGGGTGTAGTTGCATCATTCAAAGTAACAGATACACATCATCATCAGAGGTATTTATATACAGACTGGCTAATACGTGTAGTTTATATATATTCACACGCACATACATGTATGTATGGAATGTGTGATGAAACACAAGTAACTTGAGAAAACAAAGGGAAAGCACAGAAATTTCCATCAACATATGAAGTGTACAAGAATTAAACAGACATATATATATGTAATTTTGTGCTACTTCAGTTTTTTACAAATACACCATTGCCAGATTTATGCTATCTTAATTAAAATCTGCAGTTAATGAGATTATCTCATGATTATCAGAAGTGAAAAATGCTAACCTTTTTCAAAAGTGTGCTGATTAATTTGGTTACACAAAGGAATATGATATAAAACTTGAAAAAAAGAAAAACTGGGGTTTCCCTTAATTTCTTAAAACAGCAAACAAAAAGGGTTTCATAAAAAAATAGCAAAAAATAGCAAAAAAATAATTAAATTGCACCCTGGATAATAATCATAGAAAGAATAAATTAAAATAAATATCATACACACCATTGAATTTTTGGGCAGGTTGGTCTTCCTTTCGACGTTTTTTCTTGTTTCTTGATGGACGGCGGTTCATTGTTGAACTTTCAATATTTCTCAACTCAATATCTTCCATAATCGGGTCCATGTCCAGCGAGGGCAATGCAGCAAGTACGCGGTCTAACATTAGACTAGATGGTCTTCTTGGCGATAGGTTATAAAAAGCCTGATGCTCTACCTAAAACACACACAATAAAATACTCCATAAATGACAGGAATACACCAAAAATTATCGCTGCCGAATTGATCAAATTCACACATGGTTATCAACTTGCATTCTATCATTAGTTTATACCTGCTATTCCAGCGTAATTCCACAGAATGTACTTGTGAAGTTCTATGAACCCCCAAGTGAGATTCCACCTCCCTCTCCCACCTAGCTTCTCCCAAGGACTGAGTCTACACTACACTACTGTACACTTATAACAAAATGCTGGGTTATTGTGAGCATGGCACACCAGTTACACAGAAAAGACGCAAGTACTAGAAGTACCACCCTAGTGCCAAAAGCAACACAAAAACTAGTAGATATATAGTCTCTGGGGTCTAAGTACTGCCAGTCCTATCACATGAGTAGCATCCCAAGCATTGGTAAAGGACTCCCACTGTGGAGGTGTTGGCAATTAATGCCTCCCACAGGGCAACTCCCTTTCAACCTTAATAATAACTGGACAAGCACCATGGCATTGACCATTATGACGTAACTCAATGGTGTGAGTTGATTACTTGTAAATACATCAATTACTACTGTACTTGTAGCAAGGTGTCACTCAAATGGACAGTTGTTTGATATATTGCAGAAAGTAGATCATTAATTAATTTAAGTTTTAAATGCAAAGTTATAATGAAGAGTAGGATTGTAAAGTTGGCTCTAAACAGTGAAGAAATTTGTCTTTATTCAATTTTATCATTTCTACCAACACTCCTTAAAAACTTATCCAGGTAACATTTTCTAATAATGAAAATAAAATGTTTAATATATATATTTTGGGGTATAAACACAGTTGCGCTAAACAAATTCAGTGTTAACATTTGATTACACTCCAATACAAATTACAATTGGAATGATTTATAAAGTTATAAACATAAATCTATGCTATAACATTTTTTTAACATTTTGCCTAACAATTGCAATTTCTAAGTAATAATGATTAAACACTTTACTCCGACCTGTTTTTTCCTCAAATGATTATAGTTAAAAAACACCTTAATAATGTAAGACAAGTACCTTTAATTTCATTTCTATAGTCCTGGATATAATTAACACACTTGCAATAAATGATTTAATAATCTTCCAGATAAAAAATATATAATGATTGTACTAGGGTTGAATCGAGCTTGTACAAATTTCTTCATCTAAGAAATATAAGACTATACTTCCTTTATTTACTAGAATATCTGTGATTTCATCATCATGTGAAAGATTCTATACTTAGGAGTGTGTTTAATCAGGTGTCAATTTATTAGTCATAATTATTAATAATGACATAATTTTTTACTGAATCATATTATTTTTATTATATCATTTCTTCATAAAACTTGTCATAACTTAATGCTCCTGTGGAAGTAACGACGCCGAGTTCCTTCTAGATGAAAAAGTTAAAAATAGCCATGTCCAGTCTTATCCTACACAAAGAACCGAGAACATTCCAGTCCATACATAAAGCAATCAAAATATCGAATGTTAACAAATAAAAATTATACAATTTTATATAAGTTGATGAATAAATATTTCCGAATTTGGAACTATTAACTTGGAAAATAATGCTGGTCAGTATGAAATGTAAAAATGATTCAGAATGTAGTACACCATGGATCATGTACCTGGATTTATTTATAAACGAAACTTACCTCTAACATTTTGGTAAACTGGTGTTGTCTTTTGTTTAAACAACTATATCACTTGACTTTGAACACAAATGTGCTCTCTCCCAGATCTTATCACTAAAACTGCATTCGCATAAATCCGTTAACCAACATTGACTGTCCGAAGGTCCAAAGACCTGAATCGCTTCTTGCTACAATCCGTCCATTTTCCTTCACTCACAAACTAGAACAGGGTTCATACGTCAGCAAACTTGTTTATATATGAAGGATCTGTGTCACGCGACGTGGCCTGTGCGCTGACTGGCTGACTCACCGTGTTTATGTACGCAGATGCAGCCAACTGTGGCGACCGTGATTATAATATCGGTGTGTTTACATCCGCCATGGAAGGTCAACGGGAGTATATGCATGGAAAAATTAAACATTGAACGCGTTAATAAAAAGTGCCAATGACAATAACAGTACCTGTAATTGAAAAACGATATAAAAATTATAAAATAAATTGCAATTCAGTTGAACATTACCTCTATCATGATGCACTTGTGAAGAAACCTAGGTAAACAATGCCGCAACTCCCGCCAAGCACTCCATTTTGCAAAACAAACCAATCGTTCAACTCCGGAATATCCGGGACATCCAGATTTTAATTGCTTAATTTGGAAAACAACGAAAACATACAACATTGAATACTATTCAATTTATTTAGCATATAATGTATAAATGTGTCTTTTAATGATTCTAGTAATAATTTGTCGAAAAAAATATGGTTGGATCCATATCGCTCGAGCGTTTGAAATGCATACAGCGTTTTTACACAATGAATTAAGCAAAATTAAGACGACGATTAGCCGAAAAACACTGGAGTTAAAATGGACCTTCCGAAACCTCCAGAAGGTAATTTTATTCATTTGTGGCAATTTCTATGAACGGCAGACCGAAATATATGTCCAAATTGAAGTCCGCTAGAATTTCAGGAAAATGTTCACCAGAAAACATTAAAGATGCGTCGGATGTATTTAATGCCGGCATTTTTCCGGAGCCCCCCCCCTCTTCTAACCAATCCTAGCTGATATAACCAGACTTGCTGGTGCTCCATTACCTGACACTAGGTAACATAGTTTCTGACCATGAGACAATTTTTATATAGGCCTATTGCGTCCTCATGATCAGAGCCATGCAAGCTTATCAAGTGTTCAATCTGTAAGATTGCATGTAATGTATGCCTCATATATACATAAAGTTATCAATAAATGCATTATTGTTTAAATAATAAATCCTTCCAAAAAAGAACTCTTTCACAAAATTAGCCAAGTCCTTCTTGCAAGAAATAAGAAACTGTTGCCATGAAAGATCATGCATGATGTTTTTCTCAATTATCCATTTCTATATAGGCCTATAGATAGGCATATATGGCATCATTGGCCAGCTGCATGACCATGCAAATGCAGTCGTGTATTATTACTGATGCCGCCATGCTTAGTACAGTTTCCGTATTGGGTCATGACACCCGTATATAATCGTCGGACCTCATATCAGAGACAAATTTTCCATCATGGCTGTCAATTCAATTTCAAATTCAATTGGCGTTGCTAAGTAAACTTGATAATTTAACGTCGTTTTAAGCAGAGTTTTACTTGAAGTTAGAAAAAAGATCAACAGAAACGGTTTATATTAATGTTTACTTTAATTAATTAATTTTTATTTTCCCATTTTCCAATTTTAAATGAGCAATTTGGGAAAAATAATTAATGGCAATGGGTCCTTTAAACAGACCTAAAAAGTACTGAGATAACTACTGTGTACAGATAGTTTTAATGCTATATAAATGACATGGTGAACAGGCATATTCTGTAGCCATTTCAGAATAATGAGATTTGTTTGAAATATAAGAAAAGATTGTATATTGAGGTAAACCCCATTCTTGAGAAAATGTGATCTTATTTTAATAAAGATATATTGTATTATATCAAAAAAGTTAATTTAGGTGTCAAGTTAAGGGTAAATAATAATTACATGGCTCATTGGGCCAGTTGAATTTAACATTAAGTGGGTAACCGGCCAAACCAGTCTCTTACCAATTTTTATTTGACATTAATATATATGCCTACTTGTTTTCTAAAGTATTTTTAAAGTGTCATATATTTAAGCATTCATTTAGGATGGTGCATTTTACCACAATCCAGGTTTATTTATTTATTTTCAAAAAGAACTTGCCCACAAAAACAATCTCTGGTCTGGGCCCTGGGTCAGTGGCTAAATCTACCCCTGTCGTTAATTTTCAAACTTAATATGTTTATATTTTTAAAAAATAAACTCAGTGGTCCTCAGAAGTGACAACTATATTTACTCTTCCTTAAGAATATATGACATAGAAATAATCCATGATGAATCCTTTTAATTTTCTCTTTCATTTCTTAGTTTTCATTTGGTATGTAAAAACTGAATCAAATGAATTTAGAAGCCAGTAGAACAAGATTGTTGATTAAATGGTGGTTAATTAAGGTAAAACAGCATTTTGAAAAAAGCATTTATTATTTCAGACCCAGAACTGAAAAATATTATAGATAAACTTGCTAACTTTGTGGCAAGAAATGGACCAGAGTTTGAGCAGATGACAAAACAAAAACAGAAGAACAACCCAAGATTCTCTTTTCTGTTTGGAGGGGAACATTTTCATTACTACCAATACAAAGTAAACTCGGAATCAGCCAGTAAGTATTGAAACCTGGTATTACGATTGTAATACTTTATCACATGTGTATTATTTCATGAATTTGTGTGTTATCTTACATTGAAGAAGTGTATGTGATTAGACATTTTCTTACCCAGGACAGGGCTATCCACACTTTTCCCATTGTGAGATATCATTGTCTCGCCCTAGGGTTGAGATGGGGAATTCACTTGTCAAAAGTAAACATTTGCATAACGTCAAGTCAACAATACAATGACGTCATGTCAACAAGCATAGAGCTTGTAACATCAGCATTACGTATATGAAAAATCAAAAGGGAAGAAGAATCTTTCATGTGCACCCTGTTGAGTTGAGATGGAGAAACTCAGCCCTCGGGGAAGGCCTCATGTTTGGCACCTCGAGAGTCTCTATCCTCGAATTGAGATTTCCATCTCACCTTCAAGGGAGTGAAAGATTCTATTAATCACAGTTTGAATATTTTAAACTTGAATGGTATTTTTTAAAGTAAGAAAAAGATCAGATTTGAACTATAAAGATCAACATTATATATATGAAGTACTGTGTTATAGTAATAGTGATAATGGCAGTGTGTTTCTTTGGAAAGAAACTTGACACACATAGATAAATAATATAAATATTGTTATGTAACTTATGTAATAGCTATTTATATTTATTTTAAGACGTATCATTTGTAATAAAATGATTTAACTCAGCCATGTATTTTACTCTCCTAGAGTCAGTGGCTGAGACAGGTGGATTCAGTGGCCCGCCAGCGAGTGATGGTCCCCCTCAAACGCAGCCATTTCCTGTCACACTTCCTGCTCTTCCACCTGAAGTACCTCCACCATTCCTCGGCAACCCTGATAGTAAGTCTTTAATTCATTTTTTTCCAGCAATTTTATTCTGTATTACAGGTAGAGAACAACATTTCATGTACTTCTTTGAAAAGTGCTGCTTTACAGGAATGATTCAATGAGGAATTTGAGGTTAATAGGTTAACTTGGGATGTTTTATTACAAATAGTCCTCTCAAAATTGTTAAAGGGACCAATGAAAGAATGACTACTGATATAATTTCTTCAAATTGCATGTCACTATTTCTCCCTACAATTCTTCCATTAGATTGGAAGTATGAGTTAATATAAACAGTTATCTACCTGCTTTGTTAGATGACTTTGAATTGGTAACTTTTGAAATAGAGGACCTGAGATGTATCCATTCTCTTCTTTTATATTAAGTCATATATATACTGCATAGGTGTTTGGTGTCCTCACCACATAGTGGGAGGGGCATAATGTTTGCTTTTCTGTAAGACAAGTTGGTGACACTTTGCTCGTGATCAGTTTCTGTTAAACTAGAGGTACAACACTGCAGTCATCAAACTTCAAATGTGGATACATTATAAGCTTCATTGTTAGATAAAATGTGGGTTACTCTGACCTATATCTGATTCTGTTAATTTGTCTTGAGGGTTTCGCCTGTGTCATCTTATTTGGGGACATTGGGGGGAAAATCCAAATATCCCATTGCAAAGCCTCTACTCATATCTGTCTTACCTGCTTTTTTTCATCAATGTCTCCCTGTCCACCTGGATGTCCTTAGCTGTTGTGAGGATGCTGTACCCTAACAAAATAAACAACTGATCTATAAATTGTGATATACTGACTCTATTCAAACTTATTCAAACTTTGCATCAAAGATAGAGTACAGTTATTATTGAAGCACCTGTTTAAAAATATTAGTTTGTTTAAACAAAGTAAATATTTTACTGTTCCCAATTGCCATTTTTGATTTTATCCATTTAGGACTCATATGTGGTAATAAAGGTCAGTTTAATAAAAATATAATCCATGTCTAAAATGTCCCAAAACATAAAAAAAGACTTGTGACTGCAACAGGCAATACATTCCTAAACTAGAATTTCATGTAAGGAATGCCAAACAAATTCCAAGCTGCAAGCTTCAGGTTAAAGTCAACCTTTGGAAGCTAGTCCTAGTTAACCTAAATATACCTCCTCAAGTCTATCAGCAGTGTATCAACCATGTTGTTATATAAAATGATCGCTAGAAATATTACAAACAACCCTTTATAGAATTACAGATTTTGATATATCAGCTTTAATGTAGGTATTGAGATAGAACCTACTGCTTTAGAATCTTAATCAAGGGATATGTAATAAACGCTTCATGGCATGATATGAAAAATTCACACACTTAGACTCATTTATACTTTATTAGTTTATATATTGCACTGGAACCTTTAAGAAGTTCATTTTTTGAGGCAATATTCATTCCGACAGTATTTACAACTTGAAATAGTATGAAATTTTGCTGTCCTGTTCATGGAGAGTTAGCTTGGGCCAGGTGCATGTAATTTAATCATTAATTCATTTAAAAAAAAAATATAATATGTTGATTTGATCGTGGAAACATTGCAATTTTCAACTGACGTTTAAAAGATATAATACAAATTGGTTAAAATAATACTACAGTAAAGACCCATAATTGTAACACAGTATTGAGAACTACATGTACAAGGTACTAAAAAATTTGGCCATTAAATTCATATTTCCTTCTTTTTTTTAATTCAATATCAATGAATTCAGTTCATTAAATACTTTTCATAAATGTTCTTGCATGATAATGAAATTCCCCAATCTATTGAAAGTGTAAAAGAAGGGAAATACCCAATATTTACAAATAACTGATGTCTGTAGGTGCAGAACAGGGCGCTATTGTCCTCCTACAGCTGTCATATAGCAGTTAATTGTCATTCCTATGCATTAGGTTATATACATATTTATATTTACATGTAGTTGTATAAGTAATTAGGGACTAACTTTATCATTGTCTTACATTATAGTTGTATATTATATAACTAATTGCACTTATATGAAGAACATATGAATGATTCAAATTGTGACATGTATGATTAACCCTAGACACTTGTCAGAAGTTAAATAGATGGCTATGACGTCAGAACATCGGTGCATATAATTATAATGTAGGTTCTCCATAAATTATTAAATTACACATTCAAATTTTTAATTAATCCTTCTACGGTGATTATTATGAAGCCTGTTTTCTTCCAATTACAAATGTATTTTGTGTTGCACACAATTTTTACAAGGGAGTACTTTTTAAATGGCATGGGGTGGGAATGGGGGAATGTAAGTGGTGTGGATTTCACATTTTAGATATTTTTCTTAATATATCACAATGTATCGGTACTGTTTGTTATATTATTTCAAAGTAATAAATTAAGTCATAATAGTTATAAAGGAACTCATAAAGGGTAATATCATAAAGAATATGAAATATAGCAATTCTTACCACAGTAAAGCAAATTTTGAATCATGTCTAAATTTTACCTTAAAAGGGTTGGAGAATTAAATGCAAAAAAATGCACAAATAAGGCCATCATGATCCACAGTCTTAATCTCAGTCAATGCATCATATTGCCATGTGACCATATTTTGACTGAATTTGATCAATGCAGTGGTCAATGGTATACATCTGAATTCTGAAGTCATGTAGATGGACAATTATCAATCCCTGATATCATCATCAAGAGTGTATATATATATTCTCAAACTAACCTAGTCATAATTTTTCCAACTGGTATGTCCTTAACGATTTGTAAATTAATTAAAGATATACACATTAAGTATACAAAAAGAATACATTTGTGTATATACCGTTACTGATGTCTGGATAATAAAAAGGTTACAGTATCTTGCCATGGACATGCATGTGTTTAAATTAATTCAGGGGTTTAGTTCAATGGTAGGTGATGTTGCTTGTGTCCTGCTTGTCATCTCTTGGTCTTTCACAACTTAGGTTTAGGGATTTACAATAGTAAACTGACAGTAGCTCTGTTCTACAGTCTCAATACTTATAGTCTCCATCCCCTAGACACCTTCCTGTACATGCAAGTGTCTCAAGCATTGTTAAGTCTACATCCAACTGACACCCTGGCATATCATTGTTTCTAATATACACATTTACATCTCGCTTTGTTGACGTTACATCTCAAAGATACCCTCGGACGTCTTTGTTTAGACCACATCCACTTGACACCTTAATACACCTCTTTTTGAGTCTACATTCCACAGATACCCCAACACATCTTTTTGTTGTTTCTATACATCCAACAGAATCTCTAGCTATTGTCACTTTAATTAATCTCTTCATTGAGTCTACATCCAATTGACACATTAACAAACCTCTTTGTTGAGTCTATACATCCTATACAATGTAGATACCCCAACATCTTTTTGTTGAGTCTACATCCTTAAGATACCTCAGCATCTTTTTGTTGAGTCTACATCCTTAAGATACCTCAGCATCTTTTTGTTGAGTCTACATCCTAAATATACCCCAACATCTTTTTGTTGAGTCTACATTCTTAAGATGCTTCAGCATCTTTTTGTTGGGTCTACATCCTAAAGATACCCCAACATCTTTTTGTTTAGTCTACATCCTTAAGATACCTCAGCATCTTTTTGTTGAGTCTAAATCCTAAAGATACCCCAACATCTGTTTGTTGAGTCTACATCCTTAAGATACCCCGACATCTTTGTGTTGAGTCTTCATCCTAAAGATACATTAGCATCTTTTTGTTGAGTCTACATCCTTAAGATACCCCAACATCTTTTTGTTGAGTCTACATCCTAAAAATACCCCAACATCTTTTTGTCGAGTCTATATCCTTAAGATACATCAACATCTTTTTGTTGAGTCTACATCCTTAAGATACCTCAGCATCTTTTTGTTGAGTCTACATCCTTAAGATACCTCAGCATCTTTATGTTATGTCTACATCCATCAGAAATTTAAGCTATTGTCTCTTTGTTGAGTCTACATCCTAAAGATACCCCAGCCTATCTTTTTGTCTACATCCCAAAGATCCAACACACACCCTATCACCTCTTTGTTGAGTCTCCATCTAACAGACACCCTAGCTAGTACATTGCACATCTCATTATGGAGCCAAATAGAAGTATATTGCCTCATTGCTAATTAAGCAACAATTTAGGGATTAACTGATTCAGTTTTTGAGACTTCGATAGGATCAGACAGAGATTGAACCCTTGAACCCAGGAGTAGAACTAGGGACTTCCCTCGCACCTGTTAAAATAAGTTTATTGTAAACCTTTGCTCATTACAAGGCAATGTTGTTTCAATACAAGAATACTTCAAAGGGCCTAGCCAGCAAGGGCTAGCTGTAGGGCCCTGGGCTTATCACATGTATACTAACCTGCTTTTCCAAGGTGATAATTGGGCTACACACCAGCAGAGGTGTCTACTTGTGATCCCTGTGAGAAGCACTTCTATGACCACAGTCCTATGACTGTGTAAACTCATCTGGCTCTTTGTTTAGTTGTCTTGTTACTTAATAATTCCCAAAGACATGGAAATGAATAATTTGGTGGTCTAATTAAAGGTCAAGTTATTTACACACACAACGTAAGTTACAGCTTATTACACCTTTCTATGTAATAATGTTGGGATAAACTGCCATGAATTGTTGACTGGGGGGTAGAACCATTACCACTACAGGATAAGCTTTGTGTGTTGTACGTATATGACAGTTATGAGCTGTGACTACAACAAGGAGCTTGTTCAACTTTACCTATAATCACTTTGGATATATTATTTTTGTTTTCAATATATCCCAAAACAATTTTTATTTCTTTGTCCAATTACATGCTATCCCATAACACAAGTTTTCATATTTTTCCTTGCACTGTATATTGTGGTTTTTTTTGCAATTTCATAGTTGATATCTATTCTTATAAAATATTTGAGTTTAAGCAGAAACTGGGCATTGCAGATGATCATAGTACTTGAACCCTTGGAATCGAC